CAGCTAGCGCTATTCTGAACTAGACTGGGCTCCTTACTGCATGATAGATATCATTTCAAGAGGAAAGTGTAGGCTTGGCATAGGATGTGTTTTCTTTCTTCATGTTCTGAATTCCCAGTGGTGCTCAGTGTTAACCACTACGGTGTTTAGTTTTCTGTATTTCATTAATTTATCATTATGTTTATTCAAAGACACTCAAAACAGCTATGAATTTAGAATCTTTTTGCTAATCCTGATTTTCATGAAGCTCTTACATATTGTTGCTTTATATCTTGCCATTATTTTAAGAGTTAATAGTTGTTGAGTCTCAGATTCATCCTTTATTCTCCTCTACTCCTCACATCCGAAAGACATTAAGTCTTGATTTGTTCACCTTAATTGCTCTCAACTCTGACCCTTTTTGCTCCATCCCTACCATCACTGCTTGAGCTCAGGTTTCATGCGGACCACTGTGTACCATCAGCCTTTTCCTGGAGCACCTTGCTTCCAATTCTGCCTCCTGAAATGATTCTCTAGACCAGTTTTTCAAACTGTCCGTACTCAGTGACCAGTTTTGTTTTGTGTTGTTAATTTCCAGTTAGTCACACACCAATACAAGTGGCCCTGCTACACATGACTCCTGTACAGCTTGAACCACACACAACTGCCCACTGAGTTAACACACAGGCTGCTCTCTGTCCTGTTTAACAAGGTCAGCCCATTGATTACAAGCTTGGATGTTGTTTTAATGTTGGGCTGCTGTGAATATTTCTAAGTGCTCTTTCTTAATTTCTGTACTTGTCTTGTTGCCTTATTGTGGGCCAGTAACAAACAACTCATTGACAGGCACTGGGCTGCACACCTACCTTGAGCAGCACTGCTCCAGACTGTTTCCAGAATGGAATAAGTCCAAAATGACAACTTTGATCATATCATTCTCCTGCTTAAGAATTCTTCAGTAGTTCCTTATAGCTTTTTGGGTCAGGTCCAGACTCTAGAGCAGTGGTCCCCAACCATTTTTTGACACCAGAGACTGGTGTTCCTATGAGAATCTAATGCCTGATGATCTAAGGTGGAGCTGAGGCGGTGATGCTAGTCCTGGGGAGCAGCTGCAAATACAGATGAAGCTTCGCTTGCTCACCTGTGGTGCGGCCTGGTTCCTAACAGGCCACTGACCAGTACCGGTCCACAGCCCCGGGGTTGAGGACCCTTGCTCTAGAGCATGCTCCCTGACTGTTTTCTTGCCTCAGCTCTCATTTGTGCAGTGTGTTCTCTCTTCTCCCACCTGGCTGAATTTGGTCCTTCTAAACTCAGTCCTGGTTTTCCTCTCTAAGAAGCTTTCCTTTCTCTTTTCCCTCTAGGTGGGTGCTTCTGTGAGCATCCATAGGTTACGTGCACACATGCCTCAGCACTTAGCCTTTTGTGTTTGGGTTTTTTTGTTTGTTTTTGGTTTTTGTCTTTTTCATTAGCCGGTAAGCTCCTTGAGTACAGAAACCGGCCAAAGGGAGGGGAAGATGATCAGTCATTAGGTGCTGAGAATTGGATAATATGATCACAGAAAGCTGGTAGGTGACTTTTAGATTGGTAACTTGAAAGCATGGAAGTTTCCACATCATGTGAGTTGGAATGTGCATTTTCACTATTACTTAGCTTGATTTTAAAATTTAATATTGGGGTTAGGCCTTAATTAAGTTGTATAATTATATATACCCACAGTATGTGGGTGTTTTTTGTTTTTGTTTCTTGATGAATACTTTAAAGAGCACTTAAATGAGCAAATGGATGTGTAACTCCATTGCCCTGTAATTCTGTGCTTAAAAATAGGAAAAGACTCCACTCTCTATTTTTGAAATATCAAAAACCCCAGTCCGTTAAACTAGTCTCCTATCTGCAGATCTATCATTCCGTGCTTTTACAGTTCATACATCGTTGGCATTTCTCTTACATCTTTCTTCCAACGAGCTCAGAATGCATACATGTTACATCTTCCAGCAACTGGCAATCAGTAGATATTAAGCATTTTAACCTTTTAAAGTATGTTTGAGTTCGAGAATTGAAGCAGAGAGAACCAGTTATTAGATCAGGGGCACAGTGTTGTATGAAAGGGCTCAACTGAACTCCTTTAATTCAATTTGGTCCTTTCTGTTTATGAAATTGTATTTTAAAAAATGTTTACATCAAATGTTTTCCTTAGAAGGTAAAGGAGGGAGCCGAAAGTTCTCTTTTCAAAAAACGGCTTTTGGTGCGGATTCACTCTATATATGCACAGACTCTGAGATAAGCTAGAGGTAGTTCAACTGCTTAAAGCATTTGCTGTTACTTGGAAGACAGGAGAGCCAGACTTCTTTTCTGTCGCTGCCTTTTGTGGTGGTGGTGGTGGTGGTGGTTTCTAAGGGTCTTTTAATGATTTGGCTTTTTTTAGATCAGCCAGTGAAGTGCCCCCAGCTCCCCTTCATCTATGCAAAGCCTGCAGGCTGCTTTAGTGCTTTTGTTCAGAGACAAAATTGAACTCCATTTATCCAGCTGAGATCCTAGGACTAAATCAGTCCTCCCTTTTATGAGGTTTTCAGATACTGCTGTTCTAACTTCCAGTGAAATTTCAAACATGTGCCTTCTGCTTTATGACAAGTAAGAAGTATAGTAATTGAAAGTTGCTTGAGTGCTGTTATTCTGGAGTGAAACCCTGTAATGGAAACTTTTGTTCTGTGGCATCTGTGATTAAAAGCAAACATAAATTTTCTGCTGCTTGCTGGTCATAACTCTTGGACCAGATATACAGTATATTTTTATAT